GCTCTTACATGATTTCAATTTTTTTTTTTTTTAAAAACGCTAGCCTAGCTAAAGCTAAATGTGCTTTTAAATTCAGAAAAGAAGGCATAATAGTTTGCCAAAAAAGTCACTCGATGCTCGACCCACTGGACGCCCACTTTCTGTGCCGTGCGCATCACTTCCTGTCGTCAGACCTTGAGGAAGTCGGCGAGGTTGCTTTTAGTAGAAATAGGAAGCTGTTTTTTTTTTTTTTCTCATGGAGTGAACCAGAAAGTCGTCCGCCTGGTTTTGCTCCCATGCCGCATGGGTCACTATGTGTGACACGCTTCGCGCGACACGTTTCATCCACACCGCCGGTTCACCCGCCCATGCTCCTGCCCGCAGTTGGTCTGCATCGCCCAGGAGGACTACTGGCGCATCCTCAACCACGTGGAGAAGAACACGCACAAGGTGGAGGAGGAGGGCGAGATCGTCATGGTGAAGGAGCACCGAGAGCTGGACAGAAGCGGCACCCGCAAGGGACACATTGTCATCAAGGTAAAAAAAAAAGAAATTAAAAAAATTGAAGTTTGTTTTTGTGTCTTATTTGAGCTAGAACCGGAATAGCTCTGAATGAAATCCAACAGTGACTGCCTTTAAACGGTTTGGGGTCACTGCTCAGTCCTCAAGCAAACCTGCTAATGATTTTTGAGGGGCTATCTTGTGCTTCTTAGCGAAGATCAAAGGATACCCCCTTATTCGGGCAAGTTATCGCCGATTGTTCTGCCGCATTCGCGCTAAATGAGATTGTGTCAAAAGCTGCCACCTGCGTTTGAAGTTCAAGTTCGGCCAGTGATCGCAGCCTTGGACCGTGACACCAGAAGAGTCCAAGGCTGCTAGCCCGAAGCGGCTAATTAGTGTCTCTCGGCCTATCGCCGATCGAACGGCGGCTACTTGCTGAAACATCAATGTGCCAGCTCAGCGCTCTTTCTTGCTAATTTAGAGGAAGCGTTTAGCGCTCCTGTTGTCCGCCAAGGCCCCTTTTGATCTTTTGCTGTATTTTGTTTTCTCAGACTCTCCAGAGGGAGCCGGGTATTGATCGTGTAATGGGCCCTAACGATCCCAAAACACATCCAGTGTAGACCAGTCGATTGGCGGGTGTTTTGGATTTTTTTTTTTTCCGCTCTTCCTTTTTGTTCTTTTCGTGTCAGGCGAAGAGAAGAGAAGGATGTGCTTTGCTGCTTTCGCTTCCTCGTCAAAAAAGAATCGTTTCCTTCCAGAACGTTTTAGTCTAATAAGAATTTTTTTTTTCCCGTTTCAGAGGCTGTACTCGATTTATGAATGAAAAAAATGTTTTTTTAAAATTAATAGTTTGACTCAAAGATGTTCACCAATCTGTCATCTATCAAAATCATTTAGAGAGGATGTTGCGGCCAACTCAAGCCAAAGAAAACCAAAAAAAAAAATTTTTACGCCTTTGTCATTTTTATGATTAATGTTGACATGTTGCCAAGTGTTTCTCAGCCACTCTGCTCTCTGACACCCCCCCAGGGGACCCCCGAGCGCCTGATCATGCACCTGGTGGAGGAGCCCTCAGTGGTGGACCCCACCTACATCGAGGACTTCCTGCTCACTTACCGCACCTTCGTGTCCAGCCCCCTGGAGGTGGGCAAGAAGCTGCTGGACTGGTTCCAGATGGACACGCTCAGAGACACGGTCAGTATGTATTTACTGCCTTTAAGCAATACTTTCCTACATATTGATATGCATGAAGACTCTTCCGTAAGCCGCAGTAATATTACTTGTTCTTCGTAGAGGATAAAGAAAATAAAGTGCTTGGTCAGCGCCGCGTGGTTTGGATTTCTCCACACGCTTTTTGTGAAATTCGTGTGTTTTCGATCGATAAGCAACATCCAGCAGGCTCAGCAGTCCTTGAGCATTGCAGCCGTTAGCGTTGTCCGCACGGGCTTTGGGTGAGGATTAGTACACTTTTCTGTCAATAGTGGTCAAGTTTTAGGCCGCAAACTAACACGGCGGAACCGCAAGCCCTCCGTTTGAAGTGACGTCGCAAAGGTGGTGAATACTCATTGGTTTGTTTATTCTTAAGATATTAGCAAATATTTCTTTTTTAAAAAATCCATTTTGGGTCATTCTGCGTATCATTTGAATGGAAAAAGTAAGTTGAATCCATTTCGGAAGTCAACTATCACAGAAAAATATGATAAAAGGAAAGAGAAGGACAGAATAGTGTGGGTTGAGGTTTTGTCATTATTCAGCAAAAAAAAAAAGAAAAAAAAGGTGTTTTTGCTGTGTCAATGTGGGACTTTCTGTAGATTTTTATGGGTGTTGTCAAGTTTTTTGTTCTTAATATTTGCCAACGTTTCAAAAAACATTGCTGTCGCTATAACCTAAAAAATGTTGACATTTTTTAATTGACCTTTGCGAAAAAAAAAATTCTAAAAAAGCCTTTTCACTTTCTCACTTCAGGGCATTTTGTGGAGCAGCCTAAGGAATAAAAATACATGTTATGGCATTTTTGAATTAATGTGGGAAAATTTGAAAAAGTGACAGTCGTGAAAGAATTGGGGTATTGAAGCATTTCCTTTTGAATAATTAAAAAAAAATTAAAAATCCTTTTTCACTTTGTCATTGATGGCCCAGGTGACACGTATCGTGCTGCTGTGGGTCAACAACCACTTCAACGACTTTGAGGGCAACACGGCCATGACGCGCTTCCTGGAAGACTTTGAGAAGCTGCTGGAGGCCGCGGTAAGACCACGCCTCTCGCCGTGTCCTCTTGAAACCTTTGCACAAGTCTTAAAATCGGCATTGATTATTATTATTATTATTTTTTTCCCCGACAGAAAATGAAAGGCCACCTGCGGCTCCTCAATATCGCCTGCGCCGCCAAGGCCAAGTGGCGGCAGATCACGCTGCAAAAGGCCTCGCGCGAATCGCCGCTCTACTTCAGCGTGCTGGGCGGCAGCGAGCGCGGCTTCGGCATCTTCGTCGAGTCGGTGGAGGACGGCAGCAAGGCGGCCGAGGCGGGACTCAAACGCGGAGACCAGGTGAGATGTGTTTGGGGACAAAGCAGTCAAAAAAAAAAACGGCCCCACAAAAACATTTTGGGCTGCCAACAAAGTACAGGGAGAGGCGGCAGCTTGCGCTTTCGTCACTTCAATGGACAAACACATTTGATTGTGATAATGTAGTTGTGCTGCTACGTAACCGAGCGCAGTGCTGCTGCCGTTTTTATTTCCCTTTTAAAAGTGCGACTGGAATTTCGTGTCTTTTCTTTCTGTGCGGTTCGCGCGCCGCTAAAAATGTGCCTTTGTGCATTTCAGATCATGGAGATCAACGGTCAGAACTTTGAGAACATCTCTTTTTCCAAGGCCGTGGACATCTTGAGGAACAACACGCACTTGTCCCTCACGGTCAAGACCAACATATTCGGTGGGCGAACTAACTCGACGTTAATGCACAAAAGCCGTCTTGTAACTTTGACTAAGTTTCATTCACTCGGTATATCAAATTGATTGTGGACTACCGTGCGATAAATGTCTGAAAGTTCTATGAGGGACTGTAGCTCTCCTTTCCCACATGCAAGGGTATTTCATTCTTTTTTTTTATTTTGTTTTTTTGTGTGAATAACATGATGCCGTCCATCAATTGCCGTCACAGTCTTTAAAGAGCTGCTGAGCCGGATCACGCATGAGAAGAAGAACGGTGGGCCGCACCTTCCCAAGATCCAGGAGAAAAAGGGCAATCGCTTTTCAATCCCGGACCTGCCCGGCGACATGGAGTTCGCCAGCGACCACAAAGCCACGCGCAAGATGAAGGCCAACACGGTGTCCGGCGGCCGCAACAAGATCCGCAAGATGCTGGAGAAGACGCGCTTCAGCATCCTGCCCCCCAAGCCTTTCAGGTAGGATGCGCGAGGCTAATGTGGCCGCTAATGAGAAAAAGAGGTCCATTTCATAGCACCAGCGAGCGCATTGGCCTCATCATGCACACGCAGGTAGAGGTGGCGCTCTCGCTATTGCTCGCCCAGAGAGAGACCCAAAAAAAAAAAAAAAAAAACAGCACAAATAAAGACCGCAAACGCATGGATTTTATTTTCACTTGTGGAGGCAGCACTTCGTCACTGACGTGCCTAATTACAGTTTCTCACTGAGTGATTGCTTACAGGTGCATTTTCAGAAATGGGCAGAGGACAAAATATTGACTCGAGTACTGGATTTCACACTTGTTGGGTGGGGAGGCACAACTATTTATCTACATGCAATCATATGTCCGCTTTAAATGAAAAAAAAGAAAGCATTCATCAATATTCCTCCTGTAATGTGCTGACTTAGCGTGACTTTTCCATTTCGGATGAGGTCAAACAGTCGTCGTGAGAGTCACACTTCCTCAATAAACTTGGTGTGTGGAGGAGGAACCTCACTTTTTAGCATTTGCGAGTCCTCTCGGTGCACGTGTGTATTTTATGCAAGCATGCACACACACACACACACACACACACACACACACACACACACACACACACACTCATTGTCACTCTTGCTGCGCTTTCCTCCCTGAATTTAGCGGTGCCGCTCTCCTCTCTTTTCTGTTCAATTTCAGTTTCATTTAAAATTTTGTTTCTTTTCCCCCTGCTTTTCTGCTTCAGGGGCCTATTTGGGTAAGACGTCTTGTTCGGTGCACGCGCAAGTTTGCCTTTGCAGTACGTGTCATATATGTGGCGTCTTCGAATGCAACGTTTGCATGTGATGGAACATTTTCATTCATGACTACGGAAATCTGTGAATGAACTGCAAAAAAAAAAAAAAGATGCTTTCCACTTTTGGCTCATCACGCTCGTTGGTCTCTCCTCAGTGACGGCGGCATGGGTCAGTCGCAGGACGACAGCATCGTGGGGACCAAACAGTGTCGGCACAGCGTGGCCGTCATGCCCATCCCGGGCAGCCTGTCGTCAAGCAGCCCGGACCTCCTCCAGCCCGCCACCAGCGTCCTGGACTTCTCCAACCCGGCAGGTGAGGGACCACCACCCCCACCACCACCATGCACACCGTGCATATGAACAGATTACAGGGGACTTGAGTTTTTCTACCACTTTGTGGTCTTTTCATGCCCTTTATACTTCCCCCCTCACATTGTTTTCTTCTCCTTATCATCCTTCTCTCATTTTGCTGGTCCAGCGCTGGGACTGTACTGTAAGTATGGCTGCTTGACTTTTGTTCTGTCCACGTGTGGCATCTAAACGGCCGTGTTCTGCATGCGCTTCTGTCTGCAAACGGTAGCAGTGCTTGAGGTTGTTTAAGTTCATGTGTCCAAGCTGATGTTAAGAAGGCGTTTTGGTCAAGCGCTGACCTTGTGGAGCTCATATGTATGCGAGGGTCAAATTTTCTAGCCATGGGACCAAAAAAAAAAAAGAAGAAGAAGAAGAAGGGTTTGACTTTATAATGGCCAAAATAAGTCTGAGGTGGCGGCTTTATATCAAATGTCAGACTTCCTGTGCATTGAGAAATTGTTTTCAGGGGCTGAATTTTCAAAAATGGGAAGTTAAGAGTTTGCCGTACTCCAAAATTAGAACCATTCATCCTGTCTGTCTCATATAAGAGATTGAAGCTTGGTTGCAATGGGACTCAATCTCGAGAACAACTTCATTTCTAAGAAAAAATGGGGACCTTGAAATAGTTACTTCAAACCAAAAACGCTGATGTCCTTTGTCTTTTTCAGAAATGCCTCTACTTGTGATCGACAAGCCTACGAAATGTCATGTTTGCATAGTGAAGCAATTTTAGGGGGCCGAATTAAAAAAAATAAATAAAAAATCTGATTGGCCACATGTCCTCTAACGTCCCTCCCAAACCCTCCGCAGACATCCCGGACCAGGTGATCCGTGTGTTTAAGGCTGACCAGCAGAGCTGCTACATCATCATTAGCAAGGACACCACCGCCAAGGATGTGGTGGCGCACGCCGTCAACGAGTTCGGACTGACGCCGGCCGCCGAGAACTACTCGCTGTGCGAGGTGTCCGTCAGCCCCGAGGGCGTCATCAAGCAGCGCCGCCTGCCCGACCAGCTCTCCAAGCTGGCCGACCGCATTCAGCTGAACGGCAGGTAAGATTTGGAATTTGGTGTCAGAAGTGGGAATAGTCTGGAATAGTCTGACTGGTATATTTTGCCGTCTCGTCCCACTTGGCTGATGAGAGGCAGCAGGTCCAGTTGGGGTGCAATCAAACAAACAGACAGACTGACATGTTTTTACCCGCCAAAACACTCAGCAGTGTAACAAAGTGTAGCTTGACGCACACGCGCGCACACACACACACACACACACACACACACACACACACACACACACACGCACGTCTTGGCCTCAGTCCCAGTGACTCACACGGTTCTGCTTCACCGCTTTTTCTGTGGTGAACTCATTTTCTTTTCTCTGTGTGCCAGCTTTAGTTTTTTTCACTTTTTAAAAAAAAATCTAAACAATGACAGCCCAACCTATTTTTCAGTCATTTTGCCCTGCAGTTGATTTCAATTGATCGCTTTGCATATGTTCAAATCCCCGCGATGATTGCTCGCAGAGCGCGTCATCCTCAATAACCCGTTTGCGCGCCGCGTGCAGGTACTACCTGAAGAACAACATGGAGACGGAGACACTGTGTTCCGACGAGGACGCCCAGGACCTGCTGCGCGAGAGTCACATCTCGCTGCTGCAGCTCAGCACCATGGAGGTGGCCGCCCAACTCTCCATGCGCGACTTTGAGCTCTTCCGGAACATCGAGTCCACCGAGTACGTGGACGACCTGTTCAAGCTGGACTCGGCGGCGGGCGGCGGCCACCTGAAGCGCTTCGAGGAGGTCATCAACCAGGAGACCTTCTGGGTGGCCACCGAGATCCTGAAGGAGCCCAACGCCCTCAAGAGGATGAAGACCGTCAAGCACTTTGTCAAGATTGCCCTGCACTGCCAAGAGTGCAAGAACTTCAACTCCATGTTCGCCATCATCAGGTAGGAACAGACGGAGGGGACGGATTCGGTCAGATTTTCTCCCAACCCCGAATGGTGCTTTCGCAGGAGAGCTATCCAGATCGAAATATCGAAGAGGAGAGCGCAGATATCCCAACGTGTTAGGGACAGAATGTCGCTGTCAACAAGAGTCACTGAATTGAGAATTTGTGCCCCATTTAGCGGTTTGAACTTGGCCCCGGTGGCTCGCCTGCGCAGCTCGTGGGAGAAGCTGCCCAGCAAATACGACAAACTTTTCGGGGACCTGCAGGACGTCTTTGACCCGTCACGCAACATGGCCAAGTACCGCAACGTCCTGAGCGGCCAGAGCATGCAGCCGCCCGTCATCCCGCTCTTCCCCGTGGTCAAGAAGGACCTCACGTTCCTGCACGAAGGTGCGCTTGTTTGCTTCAAACCAGAAGTAACTGCGTGGCTTGAAGTGTCGCGGCTGGCGGACTTCCTCTTAGTCGTCATTTGGTGCTCACTCAAGCAGCTTTACTTCTGCTAAAGGCTTCCTCCACTAATCGCATGACAGGTCACTCTGAGTCAAGCCAAAACCATATGGGTGTCTTGAAAGGCGCTTATAAATAAAATGTATTATTATTGTTATTATTATCTGGTTCACTTGAACGTTGAAAAAATTTTAATTTGTGAGCAATATGATGCTGCGCACACCGTGGTAACTTGATACAGTAATATAAACTGTTATAAACAACAAAAAACATCCAGGATTTTACTTTTTCCCCCGCCCCGAATCAGTACCAAAAGAGATACCGATACTACGTCCCACCTCTTGTGTCCACCAGGCAACGACTCAACGGTGGACGGCCTGGTGAACTTCGAGAAGCTGCGGATGATCGCCAAGGAGATCCGACACGTGGTCCGGATGACGTCGGCCAACATGGACCCCGCCCTGATGTTTAGACAACGGTCAGCCATCTTTCCAGTTCTGTCGTGTCGGAGTCGGGGTGTATTTCTTAATGCTCAGTATTTGATCATCTTCCCCGACATTCATCCACTACCTGTCACACAATCCCGGCATGTGCGGGTCTGCCGTGGAGGAGCGCCACTGCCCCCCGCAGACCCTCTCGGTGTACCACAAGAGTGGATGGACGAGTGGACAAAAGTATTGGGATGCTTGGCTTGCCCCTTTACTTCACTTGTCGCGTCCTCGTAACGTGTCCCGATACTTTTGTCCACGCAGTCTGGCAGGTATGGGCAAATTATTTACTTGAGCAAGAATCTTACAAGAATTGTTGCATTCATTTAGCCAGTTTTTGGTAGATTAAATCCATCCATTCATTTCCTATAGTGCCCACTCGAGTCACGGGTAAATTAAAATGCATTTAGGTGGGGTCATTAAAAAAAAAAAAAAAAATCATTTATCTAATGGAATAATTACTATGAAAATAAACAATTTGACATATTTTACATACGTATTTTACCATAGTTAAGCTTTTTTTTTTTTTTATCACTCTATAGCAAAGATTTGCCCATTCCTGTTCTGTGGTAACATTCCACCACATATTTGCATTTGTTTTTTCACCTCCCATTTCATGACCAAACCCTTCCGGGCGAAAAAACCCCAACAAAAAAAAACCCTTTTGTCCTCACCCTTCAATCTCCACGCCTCTCGCTTGCAGGAAGAAGAGGTGGAAGAGTTTAGGGTAAGTTTTTGCCCCCCCTGCCCTCGCCCCTGGCGCCATTTTGTTGCATCGGCATCTCCCTCATTTAAAAAAAAAAAAAAGCATGCAAACAAACTGACTTGAGTGTACGTTTGCCTGTGCTTGTGCATTTATTAACATGGTCCATTTACAGCGTCCATCCATCACCACTGCGCCATCCATTGTGTGTCTTGAGTCCTATCGTAGCTCCAAATGCTAACGGGCTTAAAAAAAAAAAAAAAAAAAAAACGAGCCCTTGGGAGCTACTATGTGGACTCTGTGTCGCATATTATTACCCGTATCCAGTGGTCACCAACGCCCCCCTAACCCTCCTGACGTATACAGCATGGCGCGGCTAGCTGCATGGACTTGTTGTGCTCCTGTCATATTAATATTGACAAAGACGACAACCGTTTGTTGAGCTTTCGTCGGGCGTATACGCAGGATTAGGTGCACCAGCATAATGAGCCGTTTTATGTATGTTCTTATTTAAATTCAAAGAATTATTGTATGTAGTCTTGTATTTTTGAGAAGACTATATATAGTACTTTATTTTTCATTTTATTTGAAGTCTTTGGTGTTACATGAGAAAATAAACAATGGTAAAAATGATCTGCAGGTCCCTGAGTCAGGGCAGCACCAACTCCAACATGCTGGACGTGCAGGGCGGCGGGCACAAGAAGCGCGTGCGCCGCAGTTCACTGCTCAATGCCAAGAAGCTCTACGAGGATGCGCAAATGGCCCGCAAGGTCAAGCAGTACCTGTCCAACCTGGCGGTGGAAACGGACGAGGACAAGCACCAGGTCATGTCGTTGCAGTGCGAGCCCGCCTACACCACCAGTGAGTGCGCAAGAAATATTTCCCGGAATGCATCTGCTCATTACGCTCCCAACTGACTCCCCTTCGCCACTATCTTGTAGTTTCGAAAAACCTGAGCGACCGGCGGTCCAATAAGTCGGACATGTCGCCTGTGTCGCTGCGGTCGGCGTTGCCGTCGGGGAAGACCCAGAACCGGGTGTCGCAGGTGCTTCAAGTGCAGGTGCCGCTCAACCCGCTGCGCAAGAAGAGCACCGCCAAGGACGTGGGCCCGCCCAGTGAGTCCTTGGGATTGCCTGAACATCCACAGTAAGGGACCAAATAATGACAATTCTGGTTGGTTTCCTTTGTTCCAGACTTCAGCTCCCCTCAGGTGGTCAAGAAGCCCCCCGCCAGTTCAGCGGACGAGTGGAGCACCAAGAGGCCCTCGGACGACACCGTGTCCACCATCTCGTCCCTGCACTCCAGCCCCACCGTGTCGCCGCAGGGCTCGCCGCGCAAAGGCCCTTCGGCCAAAGCCCAGACCTGCTCCAGCCAGATGAACCTGTCCGGCTCGTCGTCGTCATTAACGAGCGAGGCCAGCACCAAAGCGAGCACCGTCAGCCTGCGCAGCTACGGCATAGGTAGGCCACGTCTCATCCAACCCAACCTCGGGGTACCGACCACAGTAGTTTGATTGACCAACCGAACGATGAACCAACAGAACCGAACCACCGGATTACCAACGGATGCTTTACTAGCCTACCCCAACTAGGCCAGGGAGATACCAAGCACAGTATTATGGTACAGCTGACCAACCGAACAAGTAGGACGGTCTGGTTGACAAACCGAACACGGGGGTACAAACGGCAGTAGCACAGCTTACCAGCCAAATTGAACCACGAGGCACCACCCGCAATAGTACAGTTGACCAATTGAACCATAGAGGTACAAACTGCAGTTTTGCGTTGGAGCCCCGTTGCTACATAGCAGTTCAGTTGGAAATTGTACAGCCTAGATGAGTCAGTGACTCTATCATTCTCCCAAGCTGGGATTCAAAGTCAACTTTTGTTTCTCCTGTGCAGGTTACGCGCTGCTCCCTCCGGGCAAAACGGACAACCTGTCCGACTCCAGCCACAGCGAGATCTCGTCTCGCTCCAGCATTTGCTCCGTAGACTCGGTGCCCGCTCCAGGTCTGGAGGAACGGTGTAACAGCATCGGTGCCAGGACGTCCGTGGCGTCTGCCACTGCTGCCCCCAATGTACCGGCCGGCGTGCCGACGCCCGAGAGCTCGGCGGCCACGCACTTGAATGTGGACTACAGCCAGCCCAGCACCAGGTAAGCTCACTTGCACTTGTTGATATATGCCATGTAATTACTGGATGCATTAATCATTAAGTTCCGCGAAGTAATTCCGCTCTGTCTCCTCCATGTGACGCAGCTCTCCTTCTTCTGCGGCGGCGGCCGCATTTTCAACTCGGGGCTATGCCGCACGAGGCTCCACCTTCACGTCGTCCACCTCCACGGAGGAGCTGACACCCGACCTGGCCTCCCTGGACTCGGTGGCCGACAGCGGGCGCGGCAGCTGGACGTCATGCTCCTCGAACTCTCACGACTCCTTCCAGAGCTTGCCCGCTTCCTCCTGCCGCCCATGGGACCACGGCGTCCACGGGCACCCGCTGGCGCTTGCTCATCGGCTGGCCAGCACGACCATTGCTGAGGCGGATGCCGCCCGCGACTCGGAGCTGGCCAAGCAGTCGCGGCAGAGCTGGGCGTCGTCCGGCTCCTTGTCGGATACGTATGAGGGGAATTACGGCACCGTGAAGCGGAGGAACACCGCCGAGCAGCAGCAGATACCGCCTGGGTCCGGCTCGTCGGCCTCGCCGACCAATGACGAGGGAGTGCAGAGCACAGACCCCGCCTACAAAACGGTGACATCCAGCACGGAAAAGGGGCTCATAGGTGAGGACCAAGCTGGATGATTGTCTTAAGGATGCTAACTGAACTTGAGCTCGTCCTTGTGGGAAGCTTCAGCGAGTTGAGGGAAATCGAGCACTCGGTGGAAAAATGTGTTCAGTTAGCACTGAGGATACTAGCTGATGTTACTGTGTGGTGTTAGCATGGCTGGTGAATTAACATTAGTTGGAAAAAGTTATTGTTTATATGTGAGCCTTGGGGTTTGTGCTAAACATAAAACAGTAACTGAACTTTGATTTTTAGTTTTAGCGAGGCTAGGTAGTTAGCACTAGTGCTCAAAAATTTCTGTTTCTGTGAACTTCACCTGCAAATTGTGTTATAGCTGATAACTGAAACTTAGGTGAAGTGGCAACAAAGTTACAGACTTATTACTGGTTGTAAGCATGCGTGTTTATGTTAGCTGAAGTTGTATACAGTGGTGAGGATGCTAACTGAACATTAGTTCGTAGTTTTAGCAAGATTTGTGAGATTAGCATGTTTTAAAAATGAGTATTTGCGCGAGCCTCGCTGGTTGTTTGTGCTAAAAATGCTAAGTGAACGTTAAGAGGAATTTTTTGTGAGGTTAGCTGGTTTTGAAAATGCGTTTGTGAGCGAAAGATGCTAACGAAACATAGGCGCTTGGTTTTAATGAGGTAGCGCTGGTAGTAATGTTTACATGTGAGCTGCCATCCTTCATCTCACTGCTTCTCGTCATGTTTTGCTTCATGGTGTTTTCCCAGTCGTCACCACTATTTAATTTCTCCATGGTTTCTTTGTGTTGCCCCCTTTCACTCCCTTCCCTCTTGCTTTTTGTTTGTTTGTTTGTTCTTCCTCCATCGCCTCCATCCAGTTTACTGCATCACCTCCCCCGCCAAGGATGAGCGTTACCGAGCTCCTCCTCCCACCCCTCCAGGCTATCAGGGTCTGGCCCTGGGTGACATCAAAGATGGAAGCAATGGCCCCGTGGTGGTCGCCGTGGGGGCGGGGCCACCCATGAGGCCTCCCCACCTCAAACCACCTGACTATAGCGTGGCCATGCAAAGGAGCAAACTACTGCAGAGTCCGGGAGCCGCCGGGAGCCTGGCGGAGGCCCGGAGGCTTGCCGGCAGAACACGTGACATGAACGACAGCGAGGACGGTACGTGATTGGTCCTTTTCATGTCAAAGTGTCAAAGGAAAATGTAAAAAAAAAAAAAAAAAAAAAAAAAAGCCTCAAATGTGACCTCTTCTTTGTTGTTTTCACTCTCTTGCAGACGAACAAGTTTCCGCCGTGTAGATGAGTGGATATCCGGGCTGTGCACTATGGCCTGGTACAATTTTGACCACCTCCTGGAACACGTGCCTGCTTGACTAAAAACTTCTGACCTTGGGGGAGGGGGGGGGGGGATCATTTGAATTTTGCACCTCGGAACTAGCGCCACGTTTTACTTGGGACGAGATGGCCAGCAGAAGGATCCCAGAATCATGTGCGGGACTTTTGTCATGCTTTTTCGCCGAGACCTCTCCAAGCGCCCCTCTCCTCCCCTCCTTCCCCCTGAAACTCGTGCCTGCTTCACTTGAAAAGAAACTTTTTAAAGACTTCAGACCAGGAAAAGAAAGACAACAGTTGAATCCTTTTTAAGCTTTTATTATTATATTTGTTTTTTTTTTACCATTTTAACTTTGCACCACATTTTCCTCGGGACAAGATGGTGTAAGGAAGGAGGTAAGGCGGCTTGTGGAGCACTTACTGTTCTCGGGGGGAAACAAAATGGCCGCCTCCTGAAGCTAGCTATTCAAACGGCGTGTTACCTCCTGGACTAGGGGGAAAAAAATATTCAAAGTAATGCTTATTTTAAAAGCGCAAACAATTAGGGGGTAAAGGGGATGTTTTGTTTACAGTGTTGATTGGATGAGCGTGCTAGCCCCGCCCCCTTTCTATTGAAATGGCAGCCAAACAGGAGGTGCGTCTCCATTCCCGTGTTCACCGTATACAAAAGCGATTGGTCTTCCCAATGTCCGCTCCGTTAGCATTGTTCGGAAGACTTGAAATGCTAACATATTTGCAAATGTATAAATACATGAATGGATACGTGTATATATATTATTATTTTTTGTTGTTGGTTTTGCCGTAAATTAATGATGGTGTATAGATGACATACTGTGGAATATTTTTGAATATTTTGTTCTAAAAAACATTTTCGTTTTTTTTTTTTTTTTTTTTGCTGGCTCCTCGCTGGTGCGTTTCATAGCCATGTAGATGCTGCTGTGTGCGTGTGTGTGTGTGCGTGCGTGCGTGCGTGCGTGTGTGCGTGCGCGTGCGTGTGTGTGTGTGTGTGTGTGTGTGAATAGGGATGTCTTTTTATTGCTTTATTTATCTCACAAAATATAACAATAGGTATTGACCCCCATGCCGGGTTTCCTGGATCTCAGGCTCCATTGAGTTTCTTCGGCGCCTGTGTTAGTTGACAAGGATGCCTTGTTTGTCTCCTACCCCCTGTTAGCACTCCTCGGCCCCTCATGGCTCTACTCAGCCTCCGTTTTGTCACTTGTTCTTGGACCTCGCAAGGCCCTCCAGTGGGTGTCTCCTTAAATCTGGTCACCTTCTTTGTCATATTAACCCCCCTGTGATTCCTTGTGGATCTCCACTCGGACTCTGAGTGGGTCATAGACCTTTGACATGCCCTCTCGGCCCCCAGTAGGTCCTCTTTTGGATGTCCAGGTCTCCTGGACCTCTTACATGTGTTCTATATGTTGTCCCAACACTTCTGAAAGCATCTTTTGTTACATAAAGCCCACCTGACCCTACACAGTAAGCCACCTGGACCGCTCACAGGTCCTCGTGGCACCCTCCGCCTACTTTTAGGTCAACCGGATCTTGGTTTGATCCTCTGCACGGACTGAGTCATCATTTTGACGCTTTCTTCCTTTTTTTGCACAGCTCCACTCCTGACGTTCAAAACCACGTTTCAGTATTAGCCCCCCTCAAGTGTGTAGTTGTTCTGTACAAAGTCACTTGACAATTTTAAAACTTCTCTTGAGTTTTCCCAACCCTCCATTTGCCCCCCGCCTCCCCACACACAACATACACTCCCACTAGAATGCAATAACCGATGTGAATGAGAAGCGATGACGAGGATGCACTGTAAGCTGTAAAAGTGATTTTGCCACACAAATAACGTCCCGTATGTGTGTACAAGTGGCACTCGTCTCGTTGCTGTTTTTTATGTCTTTTACAAAGACGACTCCATTTTGGCCTCGTACGCATTGTATATGTCTATTTTTTACCAGTGGATTGTACATAGTTGTTCTATTTTTGTTTAAGAGGGTGTGTACAAAGGATTTAAAACAAAGAAGAAAGGACATTTTATTTCCTTTTAAGTCTACTGATAATAATTTGGACAATGAATAAAATCCTGAAATGGAAACTCCTGTCTTCATTTTTGTGTTTGTGAATTTTAAAGTAAAAAAAAAAACACTCATTAGCTTCATTAGCTAGGCAGTTTGACAGTTTTTGTATTGAATCCCATTAGATTATTTTGGGCATGTGTACCTCAAACTTTGTGTCGAGAAACTGCATTTATCAGTGCAGTTGCATTCATTTCTAAATGTATGTAAGATGGACTTAATCTTGTGTTCATTTTTTATTAATGACGTCAGAACGGTACAACAGTGACTTGTGGCCACATTTACTCCAGCTTTTGTGTTTCGTCACAACATAGCAATAAAAAGTCGACGGCTTCTGACTACATCTGAATATAGAGCATCGCCATGGACACACGTACCGCGCATTGATAATATTTTTTTTCTTCCTTATTTTGGGGCGTAAACTAAACACCCATCCATGCATTATCTGATTCGCTTTATCCTGACAAGGGTCACGGTGGTGCTGGAGCCTATCCGAGCTGACTTCGGTAGTAGGCGGGGCACACCGTGAACTGGTTGACAGCCAAACGCAGAGCTCAGGTCGACAAACAACCATTCACACTCACAATTTGGAATGTTGGCGCCTTGGCGGAAACGAGAGTATCCGGAGAAACCAAACAAATAGAGCACGCAAACTTTACACAAGGAGGCCAGAGCCCCGATTCGAACGTATGACTTCCGCATCGTAAGGCGGACATGCTAACCAGTTGCCCCCCCCCCCGTGCCGCTTTGAAACATATTCACAACATAAAAGTTGCACCAGTGAGCCATTAATTAACCCGGACTTGTATGTTGTCTTAAAAACCTCAGCTCATGCCAAGAATGTCGTTCGCTACAGTATTAATTAGTACTGTAATTGGAATGCGCAGGAGTAATTGGAAACCTCGGAGTACTGGTGAGTCATTCCGTCATAAAATTAAATAATTCTAAATTCAAGAGATACAAATTGCAGCAGGAACACATTGTTGTCGATACAACTTGGAAAAAAAGCTCAGCTAATGCTAAGCGAATTAGCAAGAAAAAATATTCGTCACACTGTCACCGAAATGTTAAATAAAATAGAAAGCACTGTATTTGTAAAAAAATATATAATTTCAAATAAACTATATTGGAAGAAAGATAAGCATTTATAATACACAGGTGTCTTCAGCCATTAATTGAAGGAGGAGCTCATTTCCTTTTCGTGACAAGACCTCAATTTAGAATTTTCCGTGGTTTATGTCTTTAAGTGCCACATTTTGCTCTTTAACTTTGACAGAGAGGAGGAGAACGAGCCAAATATCTTGTTTGTGCCCTTCACGCGTCCTTGCTCCGTCTTTTCAAAGCTGGACACCCGGTCGACATTAAACCGAGACCACGCTGGCTTCAAGGACGCGTTGTTTTGAGGTAAGCACTGCTGGCACCATTGTAATTTATTAATATAATAAGGTAAGTAAAACTTGTTCGTATAATTAGCTCATCTCTACCGGGTTTGTCCTTTTGTTGCATTCATGAGTTCTCTTAATCTCACACATCATCCAATTTGTCTTTCCTCGTCTTTTTTTTATTTTGCTGCTGTCAATTTCTCATGTAATTCCTTTAATGACCATTTGAAGGCAGTGCTGCCTCACCTGAGCCTTCAGTTTTATGACAGAAGTTGTTTTTTTTTGTCCTGACATAATAGACTTTGGGAGAATGTTTATTCGTGGCGTGTGTAAAGGACACTTTTACAATTTTCAACCCATAAGAAATTATGGAAATAACTTGTTGTAAAACCTCCATGAATCACACTAGGTCGGTCGTCACATTTTAGAACATTTTTAAATGTTCATCTAAGTGTAAAAAGAAGTCAAGTCTGTCACTTCCAGCATACGATGTCTCTCAGCATTTTTTTCCGCCGATAGATGGATTTCTGACCAACAGCTGTGTGTGCGCGTGTGTGTTTGCGTGCGCGCTAGCACTTGGTATGCCGCAGTGCACAGTGGAAATTACTGCCATGATGGGATGCTTCATCCTGTCTTCCTGCTCTTCTTTCCATACAATTCACATGTCACACACAGACGCTTCAACGGGTCTGTGTGGGCACCACTTTTGAGTGTTTGCGCCTGGCAGTGTTGATAGCGAGGTGTCACCTTGGCCTCCTGGCAAACCTGAAATGCAACTGAGAGCTTTTCGCGGCTGGGAAGTATCACCGGATGAATCTAACTCTTTAAACGACAGCCTTCCCACTTAAATTGGAATATGTTCGGGTCAATGCGCGCGTGAGCTTTTCTGCTTCCGGGCGCGGGATGATGATGATGATGATGATGATGATGATGATGTCGCTCTAGGTCATGTGATGTATGATTTGAGAATTTAATCGTTGACAGCGTAAGACTCAAGATCCTCATGATCTGCGCGTCAATTCCGATCCTGTCAGGATATTTTCACGCCAGAATCAAAGCTGTGTGCAGAGTCCGGTTCTCAAATGTCAGTTTTCCCCCACATCTCCCCGGCCTGTTTCTCCCAAAGGATCCTGGGTAATTTAGCAGGTAATGAGCACACTGCCCATGTCGCAGAGGACTTCTGCTATCTCGGACGCGCAAGACACACTTATTAGCATCATTTGAGTTGCCGACTCGTTGCTCTATCTCGCACCTGCTGCGGCGTTTTCACGGGCCGACAAGCAGACAAAAAGCCACCTAAGCGAGCAACCCCCCCTGCCCCCCTTATGGAATGACGACCCCC